GAGTTCTTAAAGCAATTGAATTTTTCGAATCAATTTTCAGCAGTTTATTTGAATCTTCAAGTGACTCTTTATATTTTCCTAGCATAAAAAAAACTTGTCCTCGTATTTCTAATGCCAATGCGTTATTATGATTTATTTCTAATGATTTTGTTAAATGCTTAAGAGACTCTTCATATTGTTCCAGCATAAAATAAGATCGTCCTAGAAGGCTTAGTGTAAATGCATTATTAGGTTCAATTTCAGATGATCTAATTAAATCAGTAAGAGAGTTATTATAATTTTTCAACATATAATATGTCTGTCCTCGAAATCTTAATGTATCAGCGTTAGTCGGATCAATTTCTAAGGATTTAAATAAATCGGCGAGTGATTCCTCATAACGATTTAGCATGTAAAATGTTTGTCCCCGAAACTTTAGAGTAACTGAATTATCCGGATCTATTTCTAAGGATTTGGTTAAATCTGCAAGAGACTCATCGTAACGTTTTAGCATATGATTTGTTTGTCCTCGAGTTCTTAGTGTAAATGCATTATTAGGTTCCAGTTTTAATGATTCCGTTAAATCTTTAAATGATTCGTTATATTTTTCTAAACCATAATAGGTTTCTCCTCGGGCTCTTAAAGCCCCTGCATCATTTCGGTCAATTTCTAACGCTTTATTCAAATTTTTAAGTGAATTGTCATATTTTCCAACCATATAATATGCTTGCCCTTGGGTTCTCAATGCATCAACATTTTTTGCGTCAATATTCAATGATTTCGTTAAATATTCAATAGACTCTACATATCTTTCCAGTTTAAAATAAGATTTTCCTATAAATCTTAATGTGATTGCATTTTTATCAATATTTAATGATTTTTTAAAATCTGTAAGAGAATCTTCATAGCGTTTTAACGAAAAATATGTTTGTCCTCGATATCTTAATGCAAGCGCATCATTTGAATCGATTTCTAATGACTTAGTTAAATCTGCAAGAGATTCATCATAACGGTCTATCATATAATATATTTGTCCTCGAGTTCTTAATACAATTTCATTACTTGGATCAATTTCTAAGGATTTAGTTAAATCTGTAAGAGATTCTTCATAACGGTTGAGCATATAATACGTTTGTCCTCGAATTCTTAATGCAATTGCGTTATCAGTATCAATTTCTAAAGACTTATTTAAATCTACAAGGGATTCTTTATAATGATTTAGCATATAATGTGCCTTTCCACGGGATCTTAATGCAACTGCATTGTTTGGTTCAAGGTCTAATGACTTACTTAAATCTGTAAGTGATTCTTTATATCTTTTTAATTTGAAATAGGTTTCTCCTCGAAATAGCAAAATATTTGCATCATCTAAATTAATCTCCAATAACGTGTTAAAATATCCTAGCGATTCTTTATAATTTCTCGTTACATAGTAAATTAGACCTTGAAGCTTCTGCTCATCCGTGCTTTTTAACTTTTGATCTCCAGATGGTTCATAATATTTTTGTTCTAACACTGTATTTAATAACATTATAGTTAAATCATCACGATGCATATTTTTATAAATCCGTGACTGTTCATTTGTCATAATATCTAAGGTAGGCATAAGTTTCTTATCTTGATTTTTGATAAATAGATTTGTTTCTCTTTTTGATATAAAATCGAGACCCTTGAAAATTTCACGTATTGTTGGACGTTCCTTCGGTTCAATATTCCAGCATTTCTTATAAAGGTTAGCGTAATCGGATGGAGTGTCAGGAATTGTTTGTTCTCTATAACCTTCCAATATTTTTAAAATTGTAGTAAGCACGTTATTTATATTTGCGAATGGAGGAATTCCACTTGTAAGCTCCCAAAATATTACTCCTAAACTATAGATATCCGATTTTTTATCGGGATTTTTACTGGGTCGGTGGTGGATTTGTGGATCCATGTATGCTGGTGTGCCTTTTAAAATCGAAGCTGAAGAATTATAACTACCGTATATTTTTCTTAATAGCCCAAAACTTGCAATCAAGGGTTTATCATCATTCATTAAGATACTTTTTGAATTCTTAATAAATTAATTTATTATATCAGAAAATAAACTGAAATTAATTAGAAATCGAAATAAAAAAAAAATTGATACTTACTAAATCACTATGAATTATATTATTATCGTGCAAGCATTCCAATCCATCAGTAACTTGTCTTGCAATTTGGAAAATTTCGTTAAATGAAATTTTAAAAGTATCATCCTGCCATTTTTTTAGTAAATGTTGTCGTAAGCTCCCCCCGTTGGCAAATTGTAATACTAACATTAATTTACTTGTTGTAGGATCTAATATTAAACATAACTGGAAAATTAGTTAAACGATATTTATTTATGTATGCAGTTCATATTATTACAATACCGCGTGTAATCCCATGGAATTGAATAATGTTAGGATGAAAATTAATAGCAAATAATTGTTTTAGCTGAAATAATATTATAAACTATTAGAATCGGATAACAGAGACTAGGTATTGAAAACAGCGAAAGAACGCACCTCATTGATGAATTCCTTTGCCAATTCTTTACTCATTTCTTCATTGTCAAAGCTGTTCAATACCACCTTTTTTCCATTATAGTCCGCTGAGTAAACAACCTCAAATTTGACTTAGATATAAAATACCAATTCATTAGATTGCGCATAATAAAGTGTGAAATGATTAGAAGACCTCACCTCTTCTAATTTCTTCTACATTTTTATATAAAGAATATTCAAAAATAGGAATACTACTCTCTTTTAAAATTTTTTCGAACCATTTTTGGGAAACGGCTGATTTCTTCATTTACAACTACGACCTAGACTATTAATAAGATTACAGAATTAAAGGTATAATTTCCGGAAAGGTACATTTTTCTTTAATTAGCGATTATTTACGTACGTACTTATGTACAACATCTCATTTGGAAAGTCACAACATTTGTGCAACGTTAAATAGAGCTTACAAAAACTTTAAGCCAAATCAAGATGCAGCCGCATCAAAGCCGACAAAGATCCGAAGATATCGACATTCATTAACATTAAAAAAATCGTATCTAACTATTTATTAAAAAGTGCACTTGTGGTGCTTTTGGGATTTACTCGTAACATAAACCAATAAAGAAATTCCAACGAAGAAACAATTCGAATTAGACATTTAAGGTTAATAGAGTACGTGTCAGTAGTAAAAAAAAAAGCCGTCTTTATATGCAGAATTACATTCTCAATACTCGTTTCTTTATTTGTATTCCTTCCGCTTTTTGAATATACGTATGACGATGAATATCGATATATCGATCTATTCTATATATGGTTGTAGGCAGTGTTACAGGACAGGCAGTGTTCCGCGTCATTTACTAATTATTAATTGACATGTGTCAATCGGTTTAAAATTGATAACGATAGCCATTTGCTGCTTAATAATTGCTACTGTAGCAAAAAAAAAAAAAAAAAGGCCATCGAAGTTATAGCAATGGGAGGTGGTCAAGTTAAACATTCACTATATCGATAAACACCTCAAAAAAATCTCTATTATTATTGGTTGGTTCATAGTCGCATGATTTATTGAAATTTCAAAGAGTTATGATGTTTTGATTGCCTTGTTTAATTTCAGGGAGCTCTTGGAAGCTGTGGGGAGAAAGTAAAAAGGATGGCGTTATTTTATTGCGACCCGTGATTGGCCAATAAAAATCAATCACATGAATCACGTGTTCTCCGACCTAATTCATCACATAAGAAAGACAAAAAAATACTATGTCTTTTATTGCAAAAAAATTAGTAATGATAACAGAATTGCTTTATTAATAAGATATGATAATAGTATTAAAAATCTACTTTAAAAGAAATTATTAGTTTAAAAAATAATAAAAACTTTAATAATAATAATAAAACTAAAAATAAACATTTTACCAATTATTTTTTTTAGAAAATGGTGTATATAAAAAGAGTGTAATTATGTAGAAGGTGGCTATAGAGAAAATGACAGATTAGAGTTTAAATCTCACTAGTAAAATTTTTAAAAAACTAGTTTGTGTTTAGTGATGTGCCGCGTACAGTACTATACGTACTGTACTGTACGTACTGTACGCTAAAATTTTTGCCGATCACTTTTGCCAGCCAATCAGATGCCGGAAAAGAACTATACGTACAGTACGTACTGTACGTACTGTACGTACTGTACGCTAAAATTTTTCAGGTATCATATAAATGGCACATCACTATTTGTGTTATAGTAACAGAAACTTACTAATCATACTAAGTCTTAGTAACAAACTTATAATCTTGGGTAATACTAACTCAGTGGTAGCACCACTTTGTTGAAAGCACTATGTGTATATAAGATCAAGAAGCAAAAGTAAACTGAAATCTACTTGAAGACCTAAATAGGAAGGTAGCAAAAACTTTTAATAGTACAAGCAGAAAATTAAAACCTGGATTGTAACTAAAGAAATACAGATAACAAAAAATTCCTAGGAGATTTGTTATAATAATATTCTGATCCATTGGGGATTGGCAGAAACGTATTCACATGTGGATCAGGATATTAATCATTAATCCCGTGATCTTGACATAGTGATCGGTGATTAACTAACTAAACCGCCAGAGTTGCACTAAAGAAAAAGAATCCATACACCTAAAGATTACCACCAATATAAATTACATATAACTTCAAACTTGTTAAATAAAGATAAAAATTTATAATGTTAATAGTTCATTTATATTAGTTATAAATAGGGTCCAGAATCGGGTGGGTCGGGCCGTATTGGGCCGGGCCTTCACAAAACCAAGTTTAAACTAAACCCGAAACATCTATTCGGGTTTAGGCCTGTGTCGGGCCGGGCCGTGACTCAATTTAATGGTTTTTTAGAGTTTATAGGCTTTTTTATAAAGCCCGACCCAGCCCAGTTTTAACCCGAGCCCGACCCGTTTTATTTACGGGTTTATAAGTGCGGGCCCACCAAAACCTTTTGCGGGCCGGGTCGGGCCTGGCCCGGGTAGCCCGACCGATTCCGGACCCTAGCTATAAATAAATCATTTTTTAAACATACATCTTAAAAATTCTTTTGTAAACCAGGCAATGTCTTAAGTGCAGCTACACATGATGGTGTACGTGATTGTAGGTATCCTCCATGTCTGAATCCACGCAAATACGTGAAACTATTCTTTTACCATCTAACATCACAGTTTCAAATCCCCTTCACCAAACATATGAACGTTATCTTTAATCCATTAAAGGAATCCACTCGATTACATCTTCGTATTTTTTAATTCTAAGATGGAATTCTTTAATGCAATTATCGACGTCTTGATTACCATTTGTCCATCATTGCATAATGTTTTGAGGACCACATATTTGACACCAAGCTCTAGAAGTGCTATATTGATTGTGATTTGCACATTTCCCATAATTCTTATATTTCATAACCAAATTCATCAAATACCAACATATAATTATTGTTGTAGTGTTTGAGTTAGTCGCTATATTTTTTAAATTCATCACCCTATAATTGTATGAGATCTTTAAACTTATAATAAGGTTGTATGCAGTAATTAATAATAATAATGATAAAAGCTTATAGCTTTTTCACCAATTCAAACAAATGATGATTAAAGTCGAATAGTTAAATCTAAATTTAAATATATCCGGATCATAATCTTCGAATGTATGATAAAAAAAAACATTTACCATTCCTAATAAATAATAAGCCAAATTTGACTTACATTACTCAAAAAATCTCGAGAACCATTTAATATTTTAAGCTCACTTTATATAATGGTCTATGCCGCATACATTCACTTTATTTTTATATATTGTATATCATATCCAATCTTTTGAATATTATTTAATCTATTAAAAAGATCCATTGATATCATTATAATACAGTATAAACCTCAATATAACGAACCTCTATACCGAATTTGGTATTATAGCGAAGATTTTTTTTAGCTAAAATTTTTTATTACAAAAATACCTCAATATAGCGAATTTTAATTATAAAACCTTGATATACTGTATAACGAAGAAAAATTTTTTCATTTATAATAAAATTACCTTGATATAACGAATACTGATAAAGCGAAATATTTATAGTATAATGAAACTTTTGTGTAACTCTATCAATCAAATTCTTATATTGGACCACATTATATAAACTGAACGTTTTATAAATAAATATATATGTTCGTTATATCAAGGGATATTATTTGTAAACTGAATATTTTATAAAATTATATATAGATTCGTTATAGCAAGGTACCTCAATGGACCGAAACCTTGATATATTGAACCAAACACCCCAGCTTCAGAGCTTCATTATATCAAGATTATCTGTATGTATCCTTAAATTGAAACTCTTTAATACAATCTTCGACATTCTTATTTCCACTTGTCTACCCTTGTGAGTTTATGAGGATCACATGCTTGACACCAGGCTAGTGATGTATTATATTGGTTACAATTAGAGATGGATCGGTCTTCGTAAAGACTGAAATCGGACGGTAAAAGACTGAGAACCGAATAATTCTCAGTCCTTGGTCTGGAATCGTCCAGTCCTTGGTCCTGATTATGGTCTAACAATGACTAATACTACTGATAAAAGTGTTGATAAATTACTGTAAAGAAAACAACGATGACTAATACTACTGATAAAAGTGTTGATAAATTAATATAAAGAAAACAACACAAATAATAATAATAATAATAATAATAAAGCTTATACTCTTTCTTACCATGAATGATTTCTTGCATCCATCTTCTAATATTTCTCAGTGTGATGAAATAAGTGATGAAGTTCCAATTTCTAATGAAATAAATGCTGATGATTCGAATCTTAATAAAATTGCCAACCAAAAAATGAAAAAATACTATAAATCAACGGTTTGGCCATATTTTAATTGTAATACCGAGTTTGTATCTGATACTGCAACATCAACCTTAAGAAGGCATTTGTGTTTACATGGAATAATTGCACCTACACAAGGGCAAATAATTAAGAATAAGTAAGAACAAAATTAATCGTTAATCAGATGTTTTTTTTTAAAAAAAAAGTCTAATCTACAAATTTTGTAAATAGATCTAATGATGATTTTCATAATGAGTATGAGCAAAAAGAGCGAGATAAAGCTATTCTTTGCTAGATAATTTGTGATTTAGAACTATTTAATACTGTTAAAAATGATGAGTGGTGACAAATGATTTCTAAACTTGATCCAAAGTATAGGTTTTGTAATCATCATACTATAAGCAATCGTGTTACAACACTTTATCAGAAAAAAAAAGATTAGTAATTAGTAAAATTTCTGGAAAGGTTGCCTTTACAGCTGATATGTGAACAGCATTAAATGGGACTTCTTTTCTTAGCCTAACTATCCATTATGTCGATGCTTCTTGGAGATTATGTAATTTCCTTCTTGATATAATCCCAATAACTGTGCGTCATACTGGTTCTAATATAGCAGATGCTATTATATCAATACTTTATGAATTTGATTTAGCTACAAAAGCTCTTGTATTGACAACCGATAATGCAGCATCAATGATTTTATATAGTGCATTGATAACAGCCAAATTAGAAGAAGAATTTAATAATTTAAATTTTGCACATTATCGGTGCTTTGCACATGTGTTAAATTTAGCAATTATCAAAGAGATTGAATTAATTGATACATCAATTGAAAAAATAAGATCACTTATGAACTATCTTAAGTCTTCTCAACCTGTGAATGAGGCTTTAAAATGTTTATATAAAGCAAAAAATGTAAAGAATTGAAACCTGAATTGGATATAAAGACACGATAGAATTCTGT